AAATTGATAATGATATAATCCAGTAAGAATCATTTAAAAAATAAAATTATTTTTTCCTTGGAACTCACCTTAAAAAAAAACAAGTTTACTGGCACTAACTATGTTACTTTGCCAATAGAGTTAATTATTTTGTGATAGGATGGGCCTTGAAGGAAAATTAAGTTTATGGAAAAAAAGGGGGTGGAAAACAAATTGGTGATAAAGTCAAGGAATACCTGAAAATATATTTTCTTTCTAGTAATATGGATAGAAGTCAACAATTTTCTGCAAAAGATATGTTATAAGAATTGAAAGAGTCTGTAAAACTTGGTGAACTTACATCTGAAGAGTTGCCAACAATCAAATCAATTGAAGGATGGATAAGTCGTTTTGCTGCTTCTCATAAAAAATCAATGGTACAGAAAGTTTTAGAAGAAAACCAAAATGAAAATCAATGACTTTATCACTCATTAATTTGTCTCTTGCTGTCATTAAGTTTAATAAGTTTAATCTTTTAAAGCAAAAAAGCACTAAAATAATTTATATACTTAAATAAGAAGGATATAAGTATATTAAAGAATAAATAAAAAAAGGAACAAGCAAGTAAAACATAATAAATGAACAACAACAAGCAAATAAAGAACTAATCAAAGAAAACAAAAACTTAAAAAAACAATTTGCCAATAAAGAAGAAAATCTTAAGTGAATCATCTGACAAACATCTAGTGGTGAACCTCGCTTAGAAAACAGTACATATGATTGTTTTCCTGGTCATTGATGATACAAGAAACTAAATCAAAAATTACTAGATGAAGGTAAAGTTACTTATGGAACAGATCCTAACGAAACTAGAGAATGGGCTAAAGGTCATGAAAGACTTTGATTTGATAATGCCAATGTTGAAGAAATGTTAAAAGACTTTTGTGATAGTTCAAAAGAATTAGCTACAAGTTGTTCTAGTTATATTTCAAATTGAAGTAAAAGAGGTTATCAGCTTACTGAGCAAAGGAAAGAGTTTGAGAAGAAATTAGAAGAGTTGGAAAAAGTAAAGACCAACAAATTAAGGAATTAGAGGAAGAAATAAAAGAGTTAGAAGAATCATTAGAATTAGAGGAGAACATTTCTGAATGTCATTTAGAGGCTCTTAAAGTGGCTAGACAATGGAGAGTAAGGCAAAGCAAAGAAAAAGGTGACAACTTAGAAAAAGCTTCAAGAAAAATAGAAGTTCTAGAAAATATTGTGGCATGGCAGAAATATTTGGCAGACAAGCAGCTTCAAGAACTACCAGTTTTACCAAAGAAAGAAAACAAATTTAAACTCCTAACTAACAATGTAAAGAACAAAGTTAGCCAAGTAAAAGTATAACTCAAGAAAAATTTGAAACCTATTTCTTACAAAAGAATAAATAGCATGAAATTAGGATACCAAGTTAATGAGCTGAGGAGAGGAGATAAATGACATTGTAATTACTGTCCTTTTGAAAGAGAAAAGAATTGAACTGCTACTTACAAAATAGTATCTTACAATACAATGACATTGCTTATATTTGTGTTGAGTGTAAAAAAGCTCTTGATGATAATACTTTGCCACATTGTAATGATTGTGGTAGAATTATGAGAAACAGGATAGATTGTTTTTTTGATTTAAGGAAAGATGAAACAGTCAAAACCCCAACCATAACAGAAATAATGGCACTAAAGACTAGAGCTGTAAATTATGACAATGGTAGTAATTGTATTTACGGCATATAAAAAGTGGTTGCAATTACCTTTGCGACCACTTTTGCAACCATACTTTTTCCTTTTTTTGGATTACGGCACTAGTCTTTAAATGGCACAGAGTTATGTTGGCAGATTGGAACAGCAGAATAAAGACTTAAAACAGCAACTATCCAGTGTTAAAGAAGAAATCAGTTCTCATTTGGAAGCCTTAGAAGTTTCAAAGGATTGGCATAATAAGCAGAAGCAAGAATTATTAGATAAAATTCAAAGACTTGAAAATGAAGTTGAACAGTTAAAGAAACAGCAGACTCAAATAACTGCTCAAATTGAAGTTAAAGAGACTAAAAGGATGATCTTGATTGAAAATAAAAAAGTAATTTAAAGAATATTCTGTATAAATTGAAATTCATTCTAACTATCAAAGAAAATGTTAGTTATTTTCCTTTTAAAGATTTTTGCTTTTTATTAGGTAATAATGCATTATCATGATGCTTTCTTTTTTAACATTTATTATTTTTCTTTCTTCTTGGTAAATTTCATAGGTAATCCTTTCTTTTCTTAGATAAACTTCAAGTGTCTGGGTATCATTTATTTTGAAAAATATAAGGTGCAATTTTTTCACCTTGTTCTTTCTTCAAAATACTTCTGATAGTACTATAATTCTTGGGTTCCATGGTAGACCTAATGTAAATTAACTTCATATTAACTATTTTTATATAGAGGTAATTCTATATATCACCTAATATTAAGAGGGTAACAAATGGAAGATTTTAATAATCACATTACTAAATTTTGATCCCTGAAATCTTTGGTAATACCAATGTTCACTTTGTCTGGTTTTGTTGCAGCATGTCCCAAATGATATAATCATATAACTGATGATATAAAAATGAGATAAAAAAATATAGATGTGTTGTTGCGATTAGACAAGAATATTCTTTAAATTATTGAATGATACAATCAATGATATAACTGATGAGATAATAAAATATTAATCATAAATAATCAATAATACAACTGCTGAGATAATAAAATTATTCATGGACTCAACTGATGGTGAAAATATTTTTAATCAAATTATATTAATTTGTAATTCAAGTGAAATATCTCATCATAATATAGTTCATTTTGTGATGGAGCTTCTAATGTGATTGGTATGAAATAAGCATTCTGTTCTTGATAATGACCATGTGCAATATGAGATTGAAAAAATTGTAGAACAATTTGAAATAATTGGTTTAATTGACTCCAATTCACAAAAATCTGAAGCTATTAAATTTGCTGCATCAAAAACTCAAAATATGTGACTATGATTCATTTATTATTCTTCTTGTTACTCTTAGATTTGGTCCAGAATCTGTCACTACTGCAGCAAATTTATGTAATCCAATCTTTTCAACTATCCTTGATGTAGTTATTACATAATTATATATTGAATCATGAGTGGGAGAAGTCCATCTATCAAGAACTAATTATAATGAATAAAAAACATTTATAATTAATATTTTAGGAAAAATTGGTTTTTAATTCTAATAATCCATGATATAACAACCCATTATTTAAATTATAAATAATATGTACTCAATGTAAGATTTTATTCATTTTCAAGCTCAAACTCAACTTTTGTTCTATGGTGCGCGAAGCCTATAACCACCATTTTTGCACGTGATTTTTGAAAGAATAGAAGTCCGTTTCTGTTGATCCT